TCAGCTGACATTAGCAACAGCTCTAGCTCCTTAATTCTTTTCTCTTTGTCTGGGTCGTCATGGCATGGCTGTGAGGAAGAAGAACCAGGGGGAAGAGGCGCAAAGAGAGACCGAGACACAAACTTTACTGACAATTTCACAAGACTTTTATGAGGTCCTGAATTTCACCAAGCAAAATCACTCAGGATTCAGATGCTTTTTAGGACTTTGATATTACATTCAATAATGCCAATATGTTCCAAAAGCTATTTTATAGTCCATACAAATTCGTAAAACTGCACTGGTGAAATTCATATAAGGAGCAGTTTAACACCACACCACACCACACACATGCAGATTAAACAATTATACACAAACATATGAGATTGATTTTTTTTTAATTAATAGAGAAGACAAACAGACTTCAGAAAGCAGGAAGTTCAGAGATATAGAGGAGATTGAAGCATGCCGTGAGAACTGCACCATGGGACTTACCGACATAAAGCTAGAGATCTCAACACTAATGTTTTCCATACACTGGCCACTTTGTGAACCATACGGATATCTGGGTGGCTGCCAATCAAAAACAATATGAAAGCTTGTATGTTAAATACTTCACATCTGATATGTATTATATTAAGCATAAACACAGATTAAGTCGAAAATTGTTGTTAGATTAATAAGTGATATTAAAATTCTATACTATTTTGTCTAAATAAATTCACAAAAAAACAAGCAAACAAACACACACACCAAAAACTAAAATCATCACCTGTGATTGGCCACTCATGATCATTTGATTCTGGTCATGTTGATATTCCACAGATGGACTGGATTTGGGGCGTTTCTTCTGGCCAGGGTCACTGCTGTAGCTCTTGCTGCCCTCCTGCAAGTAACCCTCATGTTCCACCTTCCTGCGCATGGTGGAGTTCCAATGATTCTTAATGGAGTTGTCTGTCCTATAAGAGTCCAGTAAAGTAAAGGTCATTCTCTGGCCTACACACACACACACAAACAAACAAACAAACAAACAGATATTCTTCTATATTCTGCATAGGTTTTGAGTTAAAATAGAGCTTTTTACCGTCCAGGAAGCAGCTTTGAGATCTCAGCCCAGCGGTTGCCCAGACGTTTATGCGCTTCATAGATAATACGATCCTCTTCCTGGGTCCAGGAGGATTTCTTCACTTCTGGGTTGAGGTGATTGTGCCAGCGCTCTCGGCACTGCTTGCCTATGCGGCCCTGTAAGTGCTTGGCAATCACTGACCACCGT